GTAAAAGTATGTTTTATGATTATTTATACAGATGTAAATATACACAATACAATGGCATAGTTTTTTTTGTTAGTACAGTAACCAACTTTGCAGCTGTTCATTATCAAAAAAATATATACATGTAATTTTTCTGCAACAGCTGCAATATTATTTCATAGATTTACAACGGAAGAACTTAGAAAGCATATACACATGTACTCAATATTTTCCTACCTAGTTTATGCAAATCTTTTGTTTAAGGTATTTCCTCCCTTGGAATTTTAATGAACCAGAAGTCTCATTCTAGACTGTAGCTCTACTGGTTTTTATTTTAAACAAATGAGGAGAAAAGTAGCAGTTGGACTTAAAACTTTTCAACAGCAATACATAGAATAATGAAGCTTGAGTTTGTCTCTTTTTTGTGGCTAGATTGCAATGAAACTAAAACTGTACGAGGAGCAGCGTTTTGAAAGTATTTCTCAGAAGTTTCTATTTATAGTAACCATGTCAACACTGTTTATCAAAAACTGATAAACAGAATGATGAATCTTAGTGTAGTCTACTTGTGTGCCAAGATATATCAAAAAAAAAACTTAAGGACATACGCAAGGTACGTTACCTACTGATAATTTTTCAAGATACTAGTATTCTAAATTTAAACCTATAATACCATTACATGTTCTTAGACAAAAAATCAGCATGCGTTACCAGGGGTTTTGAAAAGATATCAAATTGTGAAAATTTTTGCATTTTTCAAAGAAAAATGTACAAAAATTACAAAACATAAATTCCAAATTTTTTTTCATCAAAAATTGTTTTAGAAGAGGTGTATAAAACCATATATAGACATTAAAAGTATTGCACACAGGTCCTTCGTTTAGTGGAACTCTTCAACTCCAGGGAAGAACCCAATAAAGTTCAAACTACGTTGCGTATGACCTTAAACTCTAGAAGGAATAGCATTAAAAATGTTTAAAGACAGACAGAATAACAGATGACATCCACTTTACTATAGCATAGCTCTACTGGTCTCTGATCAGTAGAGCTAATTAAGTACAATAACAGTAAACTCGTTTATAACGAAGTCACTGGGACCTATAGCTGCAGAACTCTAGCTCTCTGCCTGAAAGCTACAGATCCATGCGTTGTAATGTAAAAACCTTCGATTTATGCTGCCAATTTTTTTGTCGCTCACTCCAGGTATTATTTCATATATTGTATGTTTTCCCCAGCTTTATAAATGATATCCAATAATTAACCATACATTTAACTCCTATTCCATCAGGTTTATCTACCTTTCAACGGTTCAAGAAGGGCTGTTTATGGAAATGGATGTAAAAATGGGTATCTTTTAAACCGAAATTCCAAATCCAGAGAGGACTGTTTCGGACTGTTGAAAGGTGAATAACGTATCAATAATTGGAGTAAAATATATGATTAATTATCAGATACCATTCTAAGAGCGTAAAAAAAGATAAACTACAAGAAAGTATACCTAAAGTGAGCGACAAAAAGTCGGTGGCTAGATCGGTTTATACAATGCATGGATCTGTAGTTCTCTGCTTTATCTGTCCGAATTTTCTCAGGCAAAAATGGGACCTATGAAATTACTTCGCTATATCTGTAATTCGTTATATCTGTATAAGTAATTTATTAAATTTGGAAAGATGGGGATCAAATATAACTTCGCTATATCCGTGTACGTACTAAACGAGTTTTACTGTATAGTGAAACAGAAGTGAATTCAGCATAAAAACATTGGTAATCAAGATTACAGAGCTCACCTCAACGAAGTACATTGTCTTTAAGTAAGGCAAAGTCACACAATAACCCAACAAAAAGTGTAGAATTTATGCAATTTTGATCTAATACTTTGGAATAGACCTATATAAAAACTTCAAACTAGTTCTTTGTCACAAAAATGTGATTAAAATCCAGCATCTGTAGCAAGTTTGAGAGTTTTCATCCCTTGATGCATCATTTGGGCAAGTTTGGTTTATATAAGCCTTATAGTTTCTTGGTAATGAAACTGCACCCATAACTTTTACCTGGTACATTATCTGAAAGATGTATGTTGAATTCAGCATCTAGAGCAAATCCATTAGTGTGCATCCTAAGATTTATCATCCATGCAAGTTTGAACAACATAGGGCTAATAGTTACTTTAGAAATGAAACTTGCATGAAAATTTAACCTCTTCACTCATCCAAAAAAATGTAGGTCAGATTCAGCATCCGAAGCAAGCCTGGTAGAATGCAACCTTAGATGTATCGTCCATACAAGTTTGGTCATTATAGGGTATAGTATCTTGGAAATGCCTGTACCAAAAACTTTAACCTAATCACTCAACTGGAAAATGTAGGTCACATTAGCATCTGAGGCAGGCCTGGGAATACGCATCCTTAGATGTATCATCCATGCAAGTTTGGTCAACTGGGCTTATGTTACTTGGAGATGAAACCTGCACCAAAAAAATTGACTTGTTCATCAAACCCGGGAAAAAGAGGGCACATTCAGCATCCAAGCACATCTAGTAGTATGCATCCTAAGAGTACCATCCATGCAAGTTTGGTCATTATAGGGCTCAAATTTTTGGGAAATAAACCTACACCAAAAACATTAACCTGTTCACTCAACCTGAAAATATAGGTAGATTCAGCATCCAAACAAGCCCAGAAAGTGATTTTAGATGTATCATACATGCAAGTTTGGTCAACATAGGGCTTATAGTTACTTAGAGATAAGACCTGCACCAAAAACATTAAAGCATTCGAAGCAAGTCTGGTAGTGTACATCTTTAGATGTATCATCCATGCAAGTTTGGTCCAAGCAGGGCTTATAGTTACTTGGAGACTTGGAGACTTGGAGATAAGACCTGCACCAAAAACATTTACCTGTTCACTCAACCCGGGAAAAATTAGGTCAGATTCAGCATCCAAGCAAGTCGGAGTGTACATTTTTAGATGACACCATGCAAGTTTGGTCAACATAGGGCTTATAGTTACTTAGAGATGAAACCTGCACCAAAAACATTAACCTGTTCACTCAACCAAAAAATTAGGTCAGATTCAGCATCCGAAGCAAGTCTGGTAGTGTACATCCTTAAATGTATCATCCATGCAAGTTTGGTCAACATGGGCTTATATATTACTCAAAATAACCCTCACCAAAAACTCACCAAAAATTTAACCTCTCCAAAAACATTAACCTGGTATTCCTTTGCTGAAAGACATTGAAATTTTACTTACAATAAACACATTAAAACATCTTCCATGCATGTCTAATCAATATGGACATAGAAGTACTTAAAAAGAAAACTGTCCAAAAAACTTTAAACCCTTAAACCCCCGGGCGCCGACGCCGACACCGACGCCGACGCCGAGGGTATTCATAAACTCCCCCCAAATTCGTTGAGGTGAGCTAAAAATATAATTTTTTAAAGAAGTGAATTCAGCATAAAAAAAATCATATATTTATAATGAACAGCATTTTAAAAATAAGATGTGTTTGTGAAACACTGATGCCCCCGTATGGCAATTTCATAGCAAAACTTAACTTTTCTTAAAAGCAATTTTTAAAAAAACAGTAACAAAAGTGGAGTAATCACACTGGAAATACAATTGTGAAATATTAAAGTAGGCCAAGGTTAATTTTTTCATAAATAAGGAAATCGTCAAGGTCATTGGTATCCAATGAAAGGTTTTTCCCCAAAAAAAAACATATGTAAAATATGGAAGCCCTAGCCCTAACCATTCAGAAGTTATGGCCAAGGTTAAAAATTTTTAAAAGTAGGTCAAACTCCAAGGTCAATGTCAAGGGTTTAAATTGGACCCCTAGCCTTAACTGTTCAGAATTTAAGGCCAAGGTTAAACAA